CTTGTGTTCCTTGGTTAGGTTCCTAGGAGTGGAATTGCTGGATCATATGGAAGCTCCATTTTTAGTAGTCTAAGGAACCTCCACACAGATCTCATGGAACAGTTTGCATTCCCACCAGCAGTGCAGGAGAGTTCCTTTTTCTCCACTCCTTGCCAACATTTGTTGCTAGTTTTTGTAATTTGTGACATTCTCACTGGTGTGAGGTGGTATCTCATTGTCGTTTTTTTTTTTCATTATGGTTTTTATTTGAATTTCCCTGATCACAAGTGATGGTGAACATTTTTTCATATGCTTGCTGGCCATTTGCATTTTTTCTTTGTAAAAGTGTCTTTTAGCTCTTCTGCCCATTTTTGGACTGGGTTCTTTGCTTGTTTTTTTTTTTTTGTTAGCTTCATTAGCAGAGCTAAGAAATTCATATCAGTAGACTACTAATAACCAAACTATAGATTTTATTTCGGTTTTTATATTAATTACTATTTTGTATTCTAGACCAGATCCAAAGTACCACACTGTATTTGTCATGCCTCCTAATTGCTCCCCATTATTCAAGTCTTATTTTTTATAACCTTAACTTTTTTGAATATTAGATGTCAAATAGTCTATAATTTCCCCTCATTTTAGGTTTGTTTGGCTTGTGATTAAGGTGCAGTTATATACTTTTTTAAAAAGATTTATTTATTTGTGCATACAGAACTGGGGTACAGGCCAGAAGTGTAGAGATGGTGAGAGGATTTGCCAAAGACAGGGTGGGGAAAAGAACAGGCAGACTGATGAAGTACACTGCTGAGGGGTACAGCAGGCGGGTCAGGAGAGGTCTGCCTCCCCATGTGGATCACCTTCAGGGCGGGGATGGAACTCATACTGAAGTGCCTTTAGCTTCTTAGTGCTGTGCTTTAACCCACTGCGCCACCAGGGAGGGCCCTGCAGTTATATACTTTTCAGAAGACTACTCCAAACATCATGCTTTGTCCCCAGTGCATCATATCATGGGATACCTGATGCTGGTATGTCTTATTCTGTTATCCTTCATCACTTAGTTAAGACAGTATGTGCAGGATTTCTTCATTCTACTGTTAATATGGTCACTCATAATTATTAAACATTTTGAGGGAGATACTTAAATACTATACAAATCATCCACCCAGTAATTTAACAACCATTAGTGGAACATGCCTGCAGCAACCATGGTAAGTTATGTCAGTGGTGATTTTCTAGTTCTTTCTCTATCTCTAGTCTTTAACTATAATTCTTCTAGAAGGAAAAGCTATCCCTTCACATTCATTCACTCATAACCAGTCTGAACTTGACATTAAAATTACTCCCCGGATCATAATAAGATGCTATTATTATTTATTTTGTTTGTTCAAATTGCTCCAATTTTAACAATGGGGAGTTCTTACAGGTTGTCTCCTGCGCTTTTCTGACATGCTCCTCTCTTTTTTTAAGCAATTCTTCAATAATGGGCACTACAAGATGCTACAATCTCAGCTTGTATATTTCCTGTCCCAGGAACCCTGGTTTCTTTAATTAGAGAATGATAGTTAGGCTCCACAACTGGGCCTGAGTGCTCATTGTCATTGTACTGTTAGGTTCTCTCATTGAACAGAACTTGGAGACAGAAATACACATGTGCAGCACACATGCATGCATGCGTACATGCACACTCACACACACTGATCCACCCACCTACCTATATTTATTTTTGTAGCGACCTTAAGTTATTTCCCATGTAAAATATCTGCATTAAAGCAAAACATGAGGAAGACAAGCCATACTTATTGCCCCACCTTCTCCCAAACCTGGCATAAATCCTGGTTTGTGCAGCAAACACTAGATATGAGAAGGCACAAGTAGCATTAATTCTACTTTTTGCAACCCCTGGATGAAGGGAGAGGTCAGAGAACCCTGAATTGTATCCTAGGTCCAGAGGACTAATAGTACCAGAAGGTAAAGCAATCGGAAAAAAAATAAAAGTCCTTTTGAATCAAATATGTCTATGTTAGATCTAGTATTCTGAAAAACACAGAGGAACACATTCCAGATTTACCCTTACATCTAAAACAACTTTAACAACTAGGATTTATGACAGCCATTTTCAATTCAATGATCACCATACAATAAAAGACAGTATCTCTGACAGGGAAGATGTTAAATATTTGATTTACTATAAATCTACCTCATATGGTAGTTGTAAAATATATATACAACTATTTGTTAAAAGTAACTATAGCAAGTACTGATCAATGTCTATAGTTAAAATTAAACACAGAAGCAGATTTTGAGTCTAAATATTTAACTGTCCATAATACTCCCTAGCCATCTTGTTCCCACTTAAGACAATAAGCCATTAAAATAGCACCAAAATTTTGAGGCAAGTTACCAAATATATAATCATGGGATATATAAAAAGCTTAAAAGAAATGAAAACATGGCATCTTGATTCTATTGATTCTTTAACTCCTTGGGGGAGTAAGAGAATGACAGAATTTAGTAAAGAAAGAGGCTGAAGGAAATTTCTGCCAGAAGCCTTATAGATTGGTGCACTGAGGGACAGCATTAAGAGAAGGAAAGGTTGTCCAGTACTTTAAAAGCATTGCATGCCTATAATCCATGACAAAATGAGTACTTACAGCAGTTTTATATGCAGCTTCAATGTAGAACACCAGGTTCTGTATGAAATTGACTTCATCTAGACTGTGAATGATATGAAGGCCTGAGGATAAAAGAGAATAAAGATGTATAGTAATCCACTACTCCCAAATTACCTTATCCTGTTTAGGAAAGATGGAAGGCATTTTGATTCTTAAACCATAAAAATCAAGACCTCAAATCAGTCCTGGGCTAGACTCACTTAGCATGGAGGGAATCTAAAAATTAAGCAAGAAATAGATGAAATTCCAATTTGACTATTTTTTCTTTAGTTACTTAGACTTTTGGTATGATCTAACAGGGCTTTGTCTAATCTGAGGTCAGGATGAATCAGTCTTTATTTTCCTCTTAAATATTATGAATGGAAATATGTCCCTCCAAAATTTGTATTTGAAGCCCTAAGGCCCCAACGTGACTATATTTGGAGAGAGGCCTTATAAAGAGAAAATTAAATATAAATGTGGTGAAAAGGATGAGCCCCTAGTATGTTAGGACTATTGTCCTTATAAGAGATATCAGGAGTCGACATATACAGAGAAGAGGACACAGTAGGGAGGACACAGCTCTCTATAAGCCAAGAAGGAAGCTCTTACCAGAAACTAGCCCTGCCAACACCCTGATCTTGGACTACCAACATCCAGAAATGTGAGAAATAAATTTCAACTGTGTAAGCCACCCAATCTATATTCTATTGTGGCTTTACCCTAGCAGATTAATATAGAATCCTTTCTTCAGTTTTCCCTCCTACACCTTGGTCGAAGATGAATTTGGAGTTACTTCTTGTTCATGGTATGAGGAAGCAGTCTAATTTCATTCTTTAGCAGTGAATATCCAGTTTTCCCAGCACCATGTATTAATGTATTGAAAAGATTATTCTCCCCGCCCCCCAATAAATTATTTTGGTGCCCATGTCAAAAATCAATTGACCATAATTTAATTGTTTATTTCTGGACTCTGAATTCAATTCTGCTGCTCCATATGTATATTCTTATACCAGCAGCACACAGTTTTCATTACTGTAGATTTGAAGTAAATTTCTAAATCAGAAGTGTAAGCCCTCCAATTTTGTTCCTATTCAAAATTGTTTTGGTTATTCTGGGTCCCTTGGATTTCCACATGCATTTTAATTATGCAAAGGCATCTGGGATTTTGATATTTTATCTATAAATCAATTTGGGAAATGTTGTCTTCTTAAGTATTTCAATCCGTGAACATAAGTTGTCTTTTTAGTTATTTCTTTAATTTTTCAAGTTTTATAACTTTATAGAATTTGTAGTTTGTGTCTTTTGTTAAATTTATTCTTCAGTATTTCATTTTTAATGTTATTGTCATAGGAATTATTTTCTTAACTTCACCATTGGAGTATTCATTTCTAATGTAAAATACATGATTGATTTGTGTATATTTTTCTTTATCCAGTTACCTTCCTGAATTTGTTTTAGCTTTTATATGAATTCCTTAGGATTTCTATATGTAAGAACTTATTATCTACAAATGAAAAGGTAAACTTCTTCCTTTATCTGATATTTTAAATCTATGTATATTGCCTATTTGCCTCTGGTTAAAATGGCTAGTACCATTTTAATACAACTGGTGAGAGTTAATATCCTTGTCTAGTTCTGATATTTTAAATCTATGTATATTGCCTATTTGCCCCCGGTTAAAACGGCTAGTACCATTTTAATACAACTGGTGAGAGTTAATATCCTTGTCTAGTTCTGATCTTAGGGGGAAAGCATTTATTCTTTCATCATAAATGTGATGTGAGCTATGTACTTTGTAGATACCCTTTATGAGATTAAGTAAGTTCTATTTCCTATTTGTTCAGCATTTTATCATGAAAAGGTATTGGATTTGTCTAATGCTTTCTCAGTGTCTACTGAGATGACTGGATCTCTTTTATTCCACTGATCTAATGTATTATAATAATTGACTTTCAGATGTTAAATCAACTTTGTATTCTTGGGATAAATATTACTTAGTTGTGTTGTAAATCCTTTTTATATATTGTTGCTAGTATTTTGAAGATTTTATAATACATATTCATAAAAGTACTGGTCTGTAGCTTCCTAATGATGTAACTTTGTCTGATTTTAGTATCAATACTAGCCTCATATAATGTCTTTGTGTTACTTGCCCTTCTGCTTTTTGGAAGTATTTGTGAAGAATTGCTCTTCCTTTAAATTTTTGGTAGAATTTATCAGTGACACTATCTTGGCTTGATATTTTTAAGGCATGGACTTTTGGGCTTGTGAATATCCTCTATTGCCCTCTTCATTTCTTTAATCTCTGTTGCTATGTTTACTATTTTATACTTTCAACATGCTTTGGATTAATTTTCTCCTCTTTTTTTCAGTGTCTTACAGTGCAATGTTAAATTACAGATCTGAGGTCTTTCTTTTGTTAATGTAGGTATTTCAAGCTATAAACTATCTCTAAATACTTTATCTTCTGCCTTCCCTGAGTTTTGGTATGATGTGTATTCCTTTTCCTTCAGTTCAAAGTTTTTCTAATTTCTTTTGTGATTGTTCTTTGACACACTGATTACTTAGGACTGTGCTGTCTAATTTCCACACAGTTGTAAATTTCCCAATTGTTTTTGTTACTGATTTCAAATAACATTCCACTTTCTTTTGTTTGTTTGTTTTTTAAAGATTTATTTCTTATGCATAGAGACCTGGGGTACAGGCCAGAGGTACAGGGCAGTGAGAGGATCCACCAGAGACAGAGTGGGGAGCAGAACAGGCAGATCGACAAAGTACACTGCTGAGGGATGCAGCAAACAAGACAGGAGAGGTCTGCCACGCCATATGGATTGCCTCCAGGGCCAGGGGTCAAACTCGCACTGAAGCAGCTGTGGCTAGCTTGCAGTGCTGCGCTTTAACCCACTGCGCCATCAAGGAGGGCCCTGACATTCTATTTTCAACACAGAAGATAGCTTTGTGATTTTAATCCTTATAAATGCATTGAGTTTTATTTTATGTCCTATAGTACAATGTATATTAGAAAATGCCTCATATATATATGGGAAGAACATGTATCCTGTTGTTGGATGAGGCATTCTATAGATGTGTGTTATGTCTAGTTGTTAATAAGTTTTCTATTTCCTTGCTGATCTTCTGCCTAGTTCATGCATTATTAAAACTAGGGTACTGAAGTCTCTGGCTACTGTTAACTTGTCTATTCCTACCATAAATTCTGCCTGCTTCTCCTTAATGTATTTAATTGTTATGCCTTCCTGATGAACTGAACCTTTTATTATTCTAAAATACCCTTTTACAACATTAGTAACAATTAGTAACAGTTTTTATTTTAAGGTTTTTTTTTTGTGAGATGGGTTTAACTAATTTAGCTTTCTTACGGTTCCTGTGAAAATAACTTTTAAATCCGTTTCGTATATATATAAAACAATAAACTTCAATTATTGCTTTACATAACTTTGTCTTTTAAAGAAGTTGAAAGAAGATAAATTATAAGTTTATATTTCTTATATTACCCTTCTAACCTACCATCTCTGATTCTCTCTATTTGTTTCTGTGGATTGAGTTATCATCTGGTATTATTTGTTTAATTCAATACAGCTTGTTCCACATCACCTCCATAGTGCTGCTATTAAATATATTTTATATATTATAAATCCAACAATACAATTTTGTTTTATATAATTGATTTTTAGGTCAATAAACATAAAAAAGATGAAATATACAATTGTATCTTATAGCTAATTTTGCCAGTGGCCTGTTTTTTTCGCATGTGGATTTAAATCACAGTCAAGGGTCATCTGATTTCTGTCCAAAGAACTTTTAATAATTCTCACTAAGTAGGCCTATTAGCAACAATTCTCTCAGTTTTCTATTTATCTGGGAATATGTTTATTTTACTTCATTTTTTTGAAACATGGTTTTGCTGTATGTAAGATCCTTTGTTGACAGCTCTTTTTCTCCAACCCTGTTGGCCTTCCTTTTTTTTTTAACTTTTTAATTTTTTTTAACTTTTTTTTTTTTTAAGATTTATTTATTTGTGCATACAGAACTGGGGTGCAGGCCAGAGGCTCATGGGCGGTGAGAGGCTTCACCAGAGACAGAGCGGGAAACAGAACAGGCAGATTGACGAAGTACACTGCTGAGGGGAGCAGCGGGCGGGTCAGGAGAGGTCTGCCACGCCATGTGGTCACCTCCGGGGCAGGTGGGAATCGAAGTCATGCGGAAGCGGCTTTAGATTCTCAGTGCTGTGCTTTAACCCGCTGCGCCACCAGGGAGTGGCCTTCCTTTTTTAACTGAAGAGAAATTAGCTGATATTATTAGGGTTCACTTATATGTGACAAATCATTTTGCTCATATTGCTGAAGATGTTCTGATTATTTGGACCTTTTAACATTTCAACTATAATGTAGTTGGGTGTTGATCTGTTTATCCACACCCAGAAATCATGGTAGATCATTGCGTTTCTGAGATGTGTAGATTAATGTTTCTCATCACAGTTAGTAAGTTTTCGGCCATTATTTCTTTAAATGAATATACTCTCTGCTCCTTATTATCCTTCTGGAACTCTCAGTATTCATGAATAGTTGCTCTAAATGGTATCCTATTATTTTGCTCAGATTGTATTCATTTTTCTTCTCTCTGTTCTTCAGAGTGCATAATCTATATTGACCTATCTTCAAGTACGCTGATTCTTTCTTCTGTCAGTTCAAATCTATTGAGACTCTAGTGAATTTCTGATTTCTGATTTTAGTTACTTTTCAGCTTCAGAATTTCCATTAGATTCATTTTTATATCTTTACTCATATTCATAAAACATATGAAATACTTTTATCACATATTTCTTCTTAAGGCACCATGGCTTTTAAATTTTTTTTTTTTGGTATTTTATAGTAACTTCTTTGAAGTTTTTGTTTTTAAATTAAACATATGCTCCTTGTCAAAGGCAGTTTTTGTTATCTGCCTTTTTTCTTTCATTAAGTTGGCTCAGACTTTCTTGTTTTGTTTTGTTTGCATGTCTCATAATTTTTTCATTTTATTATTTTATTTAAGATGTTATAAGAACTTCATAGATATGAATAGCATCCTCTCTGGGGTTTGTTTTTCATTACTTGTTTAATGACTTAGCTGGACTATTTCAATGAAATCTGTTTTCCCCACAGTATGCAACTTCTGACAGAGGCTAAAGCTTAGGTCATACACACTGTCACTCCAGAAAGTCAGTGATTTTAGTTTTAGCCATTGTCTCTTTGCATTATCTATTAAGTATCTGCCGCTGTTGGTATTGAACCCAATCTTAATCTCCACTAATTGCCAGTTGATTGCTCTATGATTTCATACAATGCATTAACTGCTCCACAGTCTCATAGAATTAAATTCAAGTCCCATTTCAGGTTGTGTTTGAGGATGTGTTTGTGTCAGGTTCTGTTTGACACTTTTGCTAACTCAAGGGGGTGTCTTTTAGCTGTTTCTTTCCTTGGTTCTCTGTTAACATTCATGGTCAGTCTATGGTTTAGATTGTTGTTTTTATTGAGCTTCAACCTCCTTTTAATTGCTCAGAGCAAAAATCAGTATTGTTTTTGAGAGTGCAGTGTCCTTATACTTGAACTTTCCCATACTCTGCTATGAATAAGGTCTGTACTTTTGGGAGGAGTTATGGAGCTTTATGATCTTACAACCTGCCTCTGACCTAAGCAAACATTTGTGTGAATTCTTCAGAGTGAATTGTGGTCACTTCTCCAGGACTGAGATGCCTGATCTACAATCAAGATGCTGTGTGGAATGGTAGTTTCTATCTTCTCACCTTGCTGCTTTCAGTGTGAAACCTCCAGAATGCTAGCAAGGTGAGCCAGGTACAGTTGGGGCCTAGTATTTTTGACCTGCTCTGCCTGGGGTTAAAATTCCTTGCCAAAAGTAGAACTGGAGGGTAGAAAGGGAGTTCCTGACCTCTCAGCCATTCCTATCTAAACAAGAACTTCTGTAATTCAGAGCTGGAGAGGATGAGAAATGCTGGCAACCTACCTACATCAGGGAGATATTATAGCCCTAGGCTAGAAGCTAGGGAGAAGAGGGACTCTTCTATTCTTGGCTGCACCCACCTCAAGTAGTGCATCTGTCAACTTGAGCTTGGGGTGAGGAAATAGGTTATGGCACAAACACCACACTCACACTTGTTTTACCAAGATTTAAATTTCCTGGAATAAATATTTCTTCACTTGCTACATGTCCTTAAGAGCAATTTTTGGTGACTGTAAGTGGTTGGTCTTATATTTTTATTTTTTATTGTTAATAGTTAATTAATCATTTACTATGAGACTCATGCTATCCAAAATATTTTCTCAAAATGTTATTTTCTTTTTTTTAATTTTTATTTATGACATACCATGATTTTATACCCTTGTTCATTTTTTCCACAATATGGGGTTCTCTCTTTGGTGTGGTCATCACAGTTTTCCCACCACGAAAGCACCCATAGTTCTCAGCCAGAGTCCACTGTATTCTCCTCAGATGGTCTTTTAGTTTTTATCATCTACGTTATTTTGTGCAGAAGAGGGTACATGGAACTCTCTGTGCTAACATACCATAAGTCAGAGTCAGCTTTTGTCTAAAACCTCTCTTTTAACCTAAGTTGAGATATTTAAGATTTCAAAAATATACAAAGAATAGCTAAATTTTCCATGGTGATCTTTTATACTCTACCTAGTGGTTATCTCTCACATCTATCCTTTTCATCCTTAGGACAACTGCCTTACTTAAGCTCAACACCATTTCTTACCTAAAGTATTTCAGTAACCTCACATCTAGTCTTACATTTTAATTTCCTTTCCCACCCAATCTATCCTCTGGTTACTGGAATGAATCATCTGAAACTGTCTTCATTATCTACCTTGAGTGGTTGTTTACTAACTACAAAGTAAACTCCAACTATTCAGTACAAAGCCCTTAACAGCTAGTTCTAACTTTCTAGCTTCATCTCTTTCTATTTTTCCAGGCCTATCTTATACTCTAACCATAGAAGTTAGTTAGTGTTACCTTGGTGACTAATACATTTAAAAATTCTGTATAGTAGTCACACTATTCCCTTTCCTGTTTTCTGACTTATGAATTTCTACTTACTCTTCAAAGTCCTAATCAAATAACATCTAACTTATTCCAAATACCCATCAGAGTCAGCATTGGGTTGAAAACCAAATGTTAAGTCAGGAATCAACAAACATTTGTTGAATGAGCAAATGTCTCTCATAAGCCTTCTTAGTGTATTTATGTTTCCTTTCTGAGATCAAAAATGAAAAACTGTAAGAGAGATTTTTAACATTGTTTGCTTTATATAAAAACACTCCGGGGTTGGCATTACAGGGATATTAAATGGAGTTATAACTGCCATTCTTTTTAAATAAATAAAGCCTAAACATACAATATTCATGGAGGGAGAAGTGGCTAGCTAGTTTATAATTTCAAGAAGAGGTTTTTCAGCTTCTAGGCTGTATGTTCTAGAATAAGAGAAAGGCTTTATTATCATTTATTTATTTATGCATGAAGAGCAAAAGAATATTCTGGGGGAATTCCCATCCTGAATACCCTTAGTACAAAAGAGTACTCTAATGATATAGGAAGATAAAGAAATTGAAATGTAAAAAGTATGATACTGTGAGAAGTACCTTTACTTAATCAGGATGATCTAGCAAAGGTCTTGTTTAGTTTACAAACTGAATATAACTGGATTCATAGTTCTCCTCAAGTTAGGAGAAATAAAGGGAAATTATGCTATTTCTTACACTTCCCTTATTCAGATAATAAAATCATCTGAAAAGGGCTTATTATTCAATAATAAAAATAGAGATTTGAGTTCTGATTCCTAAATTAATACTCTTAATATAATTTAGATTCTATAAACATGCCCTTCTTATAGTATATTCATAGAGCAGTATAAAGTAGGTAACTTAATTTATGTTGGTACTAACTACAAATTTGTTAGTGCACAGTATAGTAACAAGCAATAATCTCTAGTTCTTTCCAATCTCATGGTAACTGAGGATTAACAAAAGATAAAACACCTGCCTAGAGAAAATCTACAATAGATTTCCTGGTTCTCAGTTTAAAAAAATATTACTTAGTGCCTCCAACTTGTTTCTCAATGTAAAAGAATATTAACTAGGTCTAAAGACATAAAAGAAAATTAGAAAAATATTATTTTTCCAGTAGGCATCTTTGAGCAATGTAAACAAGCATGTTGTTTTGGGTCAACAGCTTAGAGAAGTCACATTGTGCCAGAACAAGTGCTCCACACTGCAGACGCTCTGGTATTTCTCTCCTTGTACTAACCTGAGGCAGTCATCTGTGCTAAGAAGAGCAGGTATACAGAGGTAGCATCCAACTGCAGGTGTCCCCACTGGTCATCACCTACCACAGTAGCACAAGTTTTGGTGTTATACTTGGCATGGAGGCTATCCTTGGTACTCTGGCTATACTTGAAGGATTCTACTTTGTCCACCTGAAGGAAACAAAAACAGTAAAAGGATATGCATAAAAATCAACCCATATACCATACTTCCATAGTGCTCTGACACATATTATTGCATTTGGTCACCAGGCAATTGTTAATGTTTAAAATGTATCACTGCCTCTTTTTTCCTATACTAAAACAACTAGAAAGTCTGTTGCTGCTGGTATTTAATTTAAGCAATTTAATTAGAAAATAGTATCAGTTAAAACAAGCTTTCCAGGCCCTCCCTGGTGGTGCAGTGGGTTAAAGCAGAGCACTAAGAAGCTAAAGTCACTTCAGCATGAGTTGGATCCCCCGCCCAGGAGGAAACCCATATAGCACAGCAGACCTCTCCTGACCTGCCTGCTGCTCCCCTCAGCAGTGTACTTCATTGAGCTGTGTGTTCTGCTCCCCACTCTGTCTCTGGCTAATCCTCTCACTGCCCCTGCACCACTGGCCTGCACCCTAGTTCTGTATGCATAAATAAACAAATCTTTAAAAAAGAAAAACAACAAGCTTTTCCTACTCATTACCTCTCTTTCATTTTTCACATATTTGTTTCGTCACCAGTGACTGCGTGAGAACAAGTTAGTAAGAGATGAGGAATGAAAAATATACATATGGTCATGAAACAGGTAGGAATTTTGAGGCAAACTAGAACAAAAGGATATACTTTTTGAAGGAGGATTCAAAAGAGCTGGGTGCGGTGTCAGAAAAGTTATCTAAAAAGTTGAAACAGAGGCCATAAAGAAAACCATCTGTAATGGAGAAAATAGATTTGATCATATGTGTATCTAATATATGACAGTAACTACTGGATCTTTTAATATGATTGATGGTATTAGTGATTTTATCAACCAACCTGGTAAGGTAGAAAATACAACTACCTTAAATACAACAAATGTAGCAAAGAGGGTTGGTAGAAAGAAATCATGATCATGAGATAGTCCAATAGAGAGTACAGAAGTCAGGAGCTGATTTCCTTCTACTTGCTGCATGCCTATGGGTGACCCATTTATCAATTTGGTCATCAATTTCTTCTAATAAAATCTCAAGAAAAACAGTTCAGATTTCATGTCTGCAACATGTATTAAGATCTCTTAGGATAAAAGTAAAACATTTTTGAATAGAAAAAAATACCATAAACGTAAGACATAAGCCATAGACGGCTAAAATAGATTTGCAATGTATGTGACGAAGGATTAATATCCATAATGTACTGTAACTCCTGAAGCAAGTAAGAAAAAGGCAACTCAAAAGAAAAATAGGCAAAGGATCGAAAAAACACTTCACAGAAAAGGAAATAGAAATTTTCAATCTATACATGAAAGGACACTCAATTTCATTCAAGATTACAAAAATATAAATCAGAGCAAGGAGACATAAGTCCCAGTCCCTTAGCTCCAATCTTATAAATTCTAAAACACTTCCCAAGATTTTTCCTCTAATTTTTACCCCAAAGTCCATTTGGTGACAACACCTGTTTCAGATTGATCTGGACCTACTTGTAGTCTTTATTTATACTTAGTGTGAAAATGTGTGTTCCTCTTTAGAGAGAGAAATGGCTTTTGATAGAATGCTGTTCTGGACCTTCTGAGGACATAATATGTAGCACATGCTACATATACGACATGCTAAGTTCTGAAAAATTCTGAATTCTAAAATTTATCTGGTCCCAAGAGTTTCAGATGAAGGCTTACAGACCTGTATTTTACTCAGTATACATAACTGCATGTAGAGGAGCCATGAATCATATTAAAAAATCCACGGTAGAGGAAAAAAAGAGACTGAATGGAAACATTCCAGGGGTAACTGAGTGCTGAAGTCATAGGTGACATTTCTCCCCACAATTCAACAATTTTCTGAAATTAGTAATGTATATTTGTGAAATTGAAAAAAAAATGTATTATTCCCTATAGCACAAAGATACTATTACAACGTGCTTTTATTAGAGAGAGAGTTGTGAACAATACTATACCTGTCTGATCATGCAGTGCAGCAATCCCCTCATCAGCTTCACTACACTCTGCAAAAATAAATGGAAATGAGACTGTTATAAACACCCTTAGATGCAAGAACACTTACTCAGCAACTGCAGTTGGTGCATGACCTTTTGGGAACAAGTAACCCTACCCTGGGTTCCTATTTACATGGCATTTACTTTATAGGTACACAGAAGAGCAGATTGTAGCTAAAAGCGGAATCAAAAGCTGTAGTTTATGACTCCTCCAAGTTAAAAACAACAACCCTGAATGCTAACTGGCAATTCTACTGCAGAGAAAAGGGACAAGTCACGTCAAAAACATAAAATAATGTGGATATAAAATACACCTATGGCCTAGAAAGGCCAATATCATCACTTTGTTTTAGAAAGGCCAACATCATCACTTTATTTTTTTCTAAACTAAACTAGCCAGGATTTGTTTTCAAGAATCCACAGAAATATTTATTTGGACATGTCCCCTAAAGCATAAAGTGAACCTCAATTCATAACATGTATAAGGTGCATTGTTAGTGTGACTCAATTCATCATCCATGAAAATAATAATACACTAACATCCTCAATCTCAGGTCATCATTATTTCTCTTACAAGGACTTGGTTATTTCTAAAATATTTCTGAATCATAATAATCTAAAATTCTAATTACTCATTATATACTATACAAGTTGGTATAATATAGTAATAACAACTGTGTTTAATTGTAATATGGTACAGCAATAATATATATACTAGAAGGGCATATCACTGTGGCATGGGTATTATAATTTGTAAGAAAATGGTATCAAATAGCTTACCCATTTTATTGCGTTTTTTTGTTTCATATTCCAAAAGGAATCCAACCAGATTACTCTAAGCAATGCTGCCTCAGTGGTGGCTTCAGGACAAGCATTAAAACTAATCTACTTGGGAGCTTCTTCACTCTGTTCCTCCTTCAAAATATTCAAGTGAGACTATGAGCAAAAGGCATGATAAAGCTAAGTACTGAATTATGTTCCAACTCTTTATAAGGCCTTTTACTGAGGGAAAAATAAAGCGCTTCCTTGGGAGAGTTTCCTTAAGCAATTTTTGTCTACAAATGATCCCCTTCCCTTAAATAACTAAGGAAAAAATGGAAGGAGAGGGGAGAAGTGAGGAGAGTAGCTGGGAGGAGGGAAAAAAGAAAAGTGGCAGCAAAAGAAATCTTTTAGAGGACAAAGTACTTGCATAAAATAATGAGACTGAGTGTAATGCCTATAAGAAAATCTCTATCATTACTTTGATCCTCATGAAAGAGACTATCCTTTAATATACCTTGTTATAGAAAACATTTAGCACAACTACCTCACTCTGTACAGAGACTTGATTCAGTACTGAGTTACGTGGTACATGTCACCACATACCCACAAGCTGCTATCACATCCTTTCAACTCTCATAACTATCCTGGCTCTACTATGCCCATTTACATTTTCTTTAACTTAAACATCAAGTCTGAGAAATCATGGGCCCAGTGGAGAATTTTTAACTGCCATCAACTTTTGTGCTCTTGGAACAGCCATTGTCAGTCATTTCTGTCCTCACTTTCCAACTTCCAAGTCAGGATAAAATTAATAGAAAGCATGGGAGGTAGGAATGAGGGGGAAGTATCTGTATTCTGTGTTCCCCCAAACTTGTCATGTTTGTTATCCAGGTGCACTAGTTGGCATTAATTACACATGACTACTCATACTCTAGGGCTTCTAACCACACCAAGTGACATCCTGCTCTCACCTACTCTGTTTGAGGAAATGGGTCTGTGCAATGACTATACCAAGTCATATAACTATACATATATATTATTTCTGAAACTCATAAAAATGTTGATTTGTACTTCCTGAGCTAAAGCAAAAATCTCCATCTATTTTTTTCTAATAGCCCTAACTATCGTTCAGTAATGGCTTGAAGGAATAATAAATGTCTGTAGTTGCAGAGAACACAGCAAAACTTCTCCACTGCACGTACTGCAGCCCTGAAATATGTTAGTGCCTTTAAAAATAACTACATCTCAGTATTCTCATGTATAGAAGACTAAAGGTCAAATTGCCTAAATCTGAATCTTTTACACTAATGGAAACCTACATACGCCTTTCAACAGACAGCAGGGACTTTCAACATTAAGAGTCCTATGTAGCCTCAAAGATTGTTTTCCTGGTCATTCAAGAGGACACAACATCCTGAATCCTATAGATCTATAAAAGATGCTTCTTTTCCGAGAGAGAGGCCTTAAGACTTTGGCCTAAAGGGCTGCTGACTCTGACCTTATTGTGTCCCCTCTTGGGGGAACACAGACACAACAGACTCTAAAGCAGTATAAAAGTCAAGACTGTCACAGGTATAAAAATCAAGAAATAAACAGTCTATTCTCTACCTAGTTGGGCAAAATACTACCTATCATTTAAAAATGGTAAATACCTGACTCTACATTCATTTCAATGAAAATAAATATGCTAGAAACTGCAAAATACATTTACTTAGAAGGACGGTTATAGATTTTAGAAAAGATCCCAACACAGGATTTCCCACTGTACCAGAACAGACTGTGCCTTCTACCCCTGAATAAGCAAGTGTCAAGTTTCCACTGGAAAAAAAAAAAAAACAAAAACAAACTCTGCACAATACAGTAAAGCTGTTTGAAATGTAATTTCAGGAAGGTGGAGAAAGGCAAAATACAGTTCTCTTAGCTCGAATGGTCTATATTTCCTCCCATCCCTGTAAGCCCCCCTCCCGTCCTCATCTCTTTAGATTTTTATTCTCAGTACCTGCTCCAATTCATAGGCCTTTGCCTTATCCTCATCCCTGTCGGCATTCTTCCGATAGGCCAGGCCCAAACCCCACACAGCCAAGATGCTGTACACATTATCCCGGACCCAGGCATCTTTCTGATCATAGCTAGCTGGAAGCAAGCCAGTCACTGGATTCTGCAAAGCAGAACAGGGAGGTAGGGTGTTAATATTAGGAAACAGAATCTATCAAACAGGTTACTTAGGACTTTGGTCTTTGACTCCCCCAATGCCATTTTATAACTTCTTCTTCTGACCAAATACTATATTGACTAAAGTGAAAGAGCTAATTGAAATCCTGTGAAATTTGGGGATTATCAATCAAAAGAAAGGCAGCGTTTTAACTCTTCAGTCAGAAATAACGAACTACCAACGCAAAAACAAAATGAAGGTAATAAAAAAATGAAATTAATAGTCCAAGTGTTCACAAGAGCCTACTCTTCCAATGACCAAATGTTCCCCTCTCTCTCTTCATTGGCCGGAGGGGAAGGAGATGATGCCCAACTTAGGTGGGAGTGTCAAATACCATAAGAAAGTTCCAACACCTCTTTCAATTCTGCCCCTGGAACCCAAATGTATGTGTGTAGGGTTGGGAGGTCAGGGGTAGGGAGGGGGGGGTGCGGATAGGATGGGGGTGAATAAGAGGAAGCCGCCCAGAAGCCAAGGCTCTGCCCGGGCTTGTGGCTGAGGGAGCCCAATCTGGTAGGTGGCGCGCTAGCGCACGCGCGCTCACCCGGGGCCTCCGTCTAGGCAGTCACAATGCATGTCGTCGATTATTACTGCGACACACTGTCACTGCCTCTCATCGTAACAGGTGACGCCCCTTCACTTACTTGATGGCACAGGATGGTCTGGTGCACTAGCCTAGCGTAGCTGTCCAGTCGGACCCCGGAGTTACTGCGGCTCCTCATGGCGCCACGTTTACAGCCCCTCCAGAGAAATGAGCTGGGGACCACTGGGGCCCTCGGTCTTCCAAGGACGGAGGCGCCAGCGCAGCGCTACCGCCAGTGGAAACCCCGAGAACCCGGGCCGGTGGAGTCCTCCCACCACTCGGGCCTGGGGCCGCCGTCCAGGCAACAGGGGCCTCGGGACCTTCTCCCCGCCCGCGAGAGCTCGACCGCCGCCGTCCGAGGCCCCGAAGTGGCGCCGGCCGCTGCTCCCCGCGTGCCTACACCCGTCGAGTCGCCGCGAGGGGCGGCTACATCCTCCGCTCAACCCCTAGAGCTGCCGCGGCCCGGAGCCTCGGTCGCCACTGGCGGCAGGTCACCGCCGCGGCA